AACGCAAGCTACACGCATATCTAAGCTACCTGTCGTAGAAATCCAAGATCAAGCATTCAGCTAAAGGAACCTATGTAGTTTCATTTTGTCCGATAGCCAATTGGCCATGGTCGCAACCAAAAGCTAGCCATAATATGAACTGTAGCTACTTGTGTGTACAAATTTCTAAAATTTAGTATTCATTTTTTATCATTTTCCATAAATTAATTTCACTTTGCTATATGTACAAGTAGCTACAGTTCATCTTATGGCTAGCTTTTGGTTGCGACCATGGTCAATTGGCTATCGAACATAATGAAACTACATAGGCTCCTTTAGCTGAATGCTTGATCTTGGATTTCTACGACAGGTAGCTTAGATATGCGTATAGCTTGCGTTGAGCACCAATACCCTCATTATTTATGTACTCAATTGTTTCTAAGTATCTAACTGGATAAAATACATTCAAATAGGGTTTTGAAAAGGGTTATCATGTGTGTTCTTGAAAAATAGTATATTTCTCAACGGGTGCACATATGGTTTTTTAGCAAAACGAGGGATTATAGCACGAGCCGAAGGCGAGTGCTGTAACGAGTTTTGTTAAAAAACCATATCTGCACCAGTTTGAGATACTATTTTTTCCTACGAGAGCCTAAAATTAGCGGCAAAGTTGCGTATTTTAGGTTAGAGTGGGAAAAATCTTTTTTTTTTCACTTTTACAGCCTAGTACTGTTATTGAAAAATGAAAAATAATTAAGCCCCCTATTAGCCCTTAATTTCTCAGAAAATTTTTGGAAAGTTGGTCTATAGATAGCAAGTGTAAATTTGACCTAATAAAACGACGTAAGAATTAGATGTTAAAAAATTGAGATAGGTAGAATCTAGCGTAATCTCATAATGAAAGTTATAAATAGGCTGCATCATGGCAAAGCGAGTCGGGGGAGATGGTATAGAAGTGGCAGAACAGTTGTTTACTAAGGTACATGATCAACTTCTCGGTTTGCTTGGTGTAAGACACCGAAGCAGTCGAAGCACTTGCGAGCTAGTTTGTACATAGGCTGGGCGACGACCACACGAATGGCAACGCAGTAGTCGCGCTCGTTCCTCACGGCTCACCGGCCCCCGCGCGCACGTACCTTGCGTACGTATACGTAAAGCACGAATCCTTTTCTCCGTTTCTCCGTGCAGCTCCTTCGTAACCGCAATAGTCAGACGTATAGAGGAGGAAGCGAGCGGCGTAATCGAAGGTAAACCCCAGGATTTAACCAAAGGCTTAAGTTCTATGCTAAGCACGCTAAAACCGCCTCGATCGCAAGACTCTACCGCATCGCCGCCGCCGCCGTTACCTCCTCGCCGAAGCTCCCCGAGCTTCGTTGCATGTTGGCCATGCTGCCCGTGCTATATGTAGCGGCTCCCAAACGCACGTAGATTACAATTTACTTTAATCAAGTTAGTCTCGTTAATAGCTCGAGAAATATATACCGCCGGCACAAGACTGACCTTATGAACGGACCTACCGCTACTCATTCGAAGCTTCTTCGACATAATTTTTCCACCTTTTTCCTTTTAATCGCATGCATTCAAGTGTACAATGCTAATACAGCTGATCAGACAAAATGTTATTATATCTAGCACGTTTTTGTGAGTGCGTGAACCATACCCGTAATCGGCCATATAATGCAGGAATTTAAAAATTCGCGCTCAATGCATCGCACGCCATCTACACATTTAGAAATATATTTCTCCGTTATGTTTGTTTCTATAAATGTCGTGCGTACGAGTAAGAAAATTTTCTAGCTCGATGAATCAAGTTTTCATTGTAATTTCGGTTTAATTGTAAAAGTGTGCACAAGTGCCTACGCATACTGCAGTACATTATTTCGCATGGACAGTAGAAGTAGAAAATATCGCCTAGCAGCTATCACAATCGCGGGATAACGGAAAATCTCGCTATATTAAAAAGTAGTGTGGACTGGAAAATTACTAGCAAGGAATTTTTCGATGAGCAAATGTTCACTAATTGGTAAATTCGAGTTACAAACTTGGTTACTCGACTTACTCAACCTCAAATAATTTTTCAGTGTGTATCGTATAAACTCACAGTGATTACATAAAATCCAGTGAGTAATGGAAAACTGTAGGAAGGCAATTAGGTACTTAGTAATCTTTTTTGTACGTGTCAAATTATTTTCAAAGCGATACCTTCAGTAAATTATTTTTCAGAATGAAGGAAGAGCCAAACGATATTTGGCCAGATGCAGCTGGCAATTGTAATTTCGATTTGAAGGAATGTTGCGAAGTTATAAATGTTGAAACATTCGCATTTGATAAATCATCAGTGAGGTCATTGATTTGCATTATGTTCTATTATTCTACTTTAAATAATTATTACATAATTTAAATTTCAGACCAATAACATGAATGAGGTTATGGAAAAGATAGATACAAAAATTTTCATAGATTTAGAGTGCAAATATGTCAAATCTAAACTTAAGCCTTTACCGACAATTTTCTGCAAAACTAAGCATCAAAGTTACTTACCTATTTTCAAAATAGAAAATGCAATTCAGGCTAATCATTTAAATGATAGAAATTTGATAATTTTGATAAAAAAAGGATTCAATTACGATAATAACTGTCAGTTTCATGGGAAGTTTCGATCGAAAATGATCGAATATAAGGAAGTTGAAATATTTAAAGAAACTACTCAAACCAAATTATTATATGAGTGCAAAATGTGTCGAAAAACTTACAAGAGAGAAAATAATTTTAAAAGACATATCAGCTCGACACACAAGATCATTAAACCTAATAAATGTGAGATTTGCTATAAATCATTTGCATGGCAAAGGAACCTCGAAAAACACAAAATGACAGTACATGATCGGAAAAGACCTTTTGAATGTGACATATGTCACAAATCGTTCGGAGAAAAAGCAAACCTCAAAAGACATATGGTAGCAGTACATGATCGCTGCAAATCCTTCGAGTGTGAGATCTGTCATAAATCATTTGGATACAAGTGTGATCTCAAGAAACGTACAACGATAATACATGATGGTGGCAAACCTTTCGAGTGTGATACTTGTCAGAAATCATTTAGACAAAAAAGTGATCTCAAAATTCATATAAATACACTACATAATCGTAGCAGACCCTTCGAATGTGAGATTTGTCACAAATCATTTGGACATAAACAAAACTTCAAATCTCACATCAATGTAGTACATAATTGTATCAAGTCTTTCGATTGTAACATTTGTCTTAATTCATTTGCGTACCAGAGTCATCTCAAAAGGCACATAATGACGGTACATGATCGTAGCAAACCTTTCGAATGTGACATTTGCCATAAATCATTTGGACTCAAACATAACCTTCGACGCCACTTAATTTTAATACATAATTGGAGCAAAAATTTCGAGTGTGACATATGTCACAAATCATTTAGACTCAAACATCACCTAGAATATCACACAAATGTTGTACACGATCCAAGCAAACTCTTTGAATGTGATATTTGCCACAAATCATTTGGACTGCAAGCAAACCTCAAAACTCACATAAATGTAGTACATAATCGTATCAAGCCTTTCGATTGTAGAATTTGTCTTAATTCATTTGCGTTCCAGAGTCATCTCAAAAGGCACATAATGACGGTACATGATCATAGCAAGCCTTCGAGTGCAAAATTTGTTACGAATTATTTGGATGAAAGGGTCACCTAAAAAGACACATAAATGTAAATCATAATTATAGAAAACTCTAAGAGTTTGAGATTTGTTTGATACTTTTACAATCACAAAAGTAGGCTATGAAATTCTGGAAAATCATTAATATAAATATGCTCTAATTTTTGGAACAACAATAAAGTATGTTATATTGCTATATTAATTTTAGCGTGGCTGTGTAAAGTATTTTTTGGGCTTCCTTCCATTACCCAATATATAAGAAATAATTTAAAAGTACTCATTTTCTATCGGTATGTAGAAAATCCTTATCGAAGTCAAACGTAAAAATTGAACATTTACGATCAATAAAAAGCTTTGTAAGCAGCGACAATTTTGCTTTTGCATTTTTTATTTTTTATTGGCAGGAGCAAGCATCACTTTTTTGAGAGAGTATTATATTACATTTCCAGCTGAATTGCTCTTAAACCTACGTGAAGTTCTGTTGCGAGTTTAAAATCGACCTCAGCAAAAATTTTGTCAAAACTTTATACCATACAGACTTTGATCGTACTTAAAAATGATAAAGTGAGCTCGACTAGATTTTCTGATCAAATTTTTTCTAAAATGACGTCAAAAATTCCTGACCAATTCGTAGGTGTAGCGCTGAGAACAGAAGAAACTTGCATCCGTCACGCGGACAAGACTGCTGCAATAGCGCCATGGATTTTCGTACACTTTTTTAGCACTTCAATCGTTTAACAAATAATCCAAGCGTATTCAACTGCCGTTGTATTTCTGTTTTTTGCTGCGAGTGATGTATCACGCGCGCGTAGGGTAGCTAGGAATGAAAAAAATTTTATTAAAAATTGCAATATCGCACGTCGAAACGAAAAGCGCGTGGGCGCGTGCATAGGATCCTACATGCAGCGACCGTTTCTCCTCTGCATCTTTTTCTCCTTTTTTCTCCCCATTGAAAAATGAACGGCCTGTTCACGAGTTATCGATAAATCAGAGTTTATTGAACGAGACCGACAAATTTTGACCGATCTATTACCCGACAATAATACCCGCTTGTAAATGTAAATTCGCGGAACGCGATGCGTGCATGTATGTACGTACGTACGTAGGTACGTAGGGGGGCTTCGAGCCTGCCCGCGCACGTTCCAATCGGCGTCAACAACAACATGCTTTTCGCATTATACTATTTCTATGTCGCGCCTGCTGCTCTCCTCGCTGTGGAGCATCAATTTATTCCAAAGCCATCGTTACGCGTCAATGATTATTATCTATCGGCAATGGAACACATGAGCCCAGCGGCTAATACGCAATTATTTTCGATTGATTTTACAGGGTGTAGTACTGACGCACAACACATCAGCGAGAATAATATGGTCCAATCAGAGCCTGGTGCTGCAGAGCGTCACGAGGAACAGCGCCGGATTGTACGTGTGCGCCGCCACCAACAGCATCCAAGAGACCAAAAGCGAGCCCCTGGAATTTCGAGTCAAATGTAAGTCATAATATTATCATAAAAGTGTATACTCGTTATTATATTGAGTCGCGAAAAGTCTATGTTTGGTTTTAATGAAGCGATCCAACGAGGCGAATAAGCAATAACTGATCGCTTTTGTTTGACTTAGGCTCCGGAGCCCCTTTGTCATCGCTCTCTTTCCCCCCTACGATCCCATTGCGAAGTCTCCGATGAGAAGAACAGTGCACACACGTGCAGAGAGATCAGGGTGGTTTTCCGTACTCTCTCTCTCTCGAATAACTGCACCATGATAGCTGCGCTAGGAAAAATCTTGCGACCTAGCGCCGTACGCGCGCGCGCAGTGTAAATATTTGAGACACACTCAGACCCCTATGAATTTTTGATATCCAATTTTCTGTTATGATTCTCACGGCAGCCCTTATAGATAACACGCCCGTACATATATACGTGCATTCGTGTGTCTTCGATAAGAATATCCGGCCCTCCTTCACCGAATCTTATTTTTTCGCACGCAGGGAAAAGATTTAGTCAAAATATACATAAGGCGTAAGCCGTCGTCGTCGTCGCCGCTCGATACTGTAGCGCGTCATATATGTATAGATCGGATCAGATTTACAAAAGCTCGTATAGATTGGCAATAAAATACTAATGAGGTTGGCAATTTCATGACTGAACATAACGTCGACTCAATTGGCCGTTTTTATTTTTTCCACTTTGTTTTATGCGAGGTGGCGATACTCGCGCTGTGTCGTCTATCTTATAGGCGTATTGGCTTCCTTTTTTGCATGATTCAGACGAGTAAAGCGTTCGCGTGCGGCGCGCGGCAAACATAAGAGCGACGACATTCTCATAAAAATCTAGTCGGCTGATAAAACGCTGGAGTTTGCGCATACTCGAAGCCATTATAATCGTATATACGCGCTCCTCGATACGATGCAGGTATATAGAGGAAAAAAAAAGTCTAACGCCCAGATTGGCCCGCGTGCGCACGAGCCTGCGCCTTTAGTTAAGCATGCATCGCCTTGTTGCACTGCTACACCTATAAATGCGCGCGAGGGCGTATTGGTCAAGCGGCGCGCTCGGTGCGATTGCACGCGTGTGCGTATATACGTCGTCGCTTTTATCGCTGCCGTTCGCTCGCGTATGGGCATCGTAAATTCACGCACATAACTTTCAATACCGGCGCGGGGCTATATTGATATTTAATGATCCCAGCACGGCGTATAGAATCGACGAAAAAGAAAAGAATATTTTCTCGGCGTTGGTGAAATAACGCGAGAAGAGCATTTCGTTAGACCGGATAACGATGTCGAGTTGCGCGTTCGCGAGCATTGACTAAAAGTCAAGCTGCAGCAGTCTTAAAACCCATGAAAGCGAAATTTCAATTATATTTCCTACACTTTAAGCGAAGCGAGAGCTTCGTTAAGAAAAAATGTAATTTAAACAAGCGTGACAAACAACAAAGCTCCCAAGCTCCGCGTTTTTACGCTTGAAAAATTTTTAGGATGGAAAAAATTTGCATAGTTTATGAATTTATGAATTCGCTACAACTGTGCGTAATACAAAATAACGAGAGAAGATTGCGAACGCACACGCGGGGCGAGAAACATCAACGCGTTACGACTCTCAATGACCGAAAAAAAGCTCGGCTCGCGCACCTATAATCTTGCATAGCGCACCCTTAATTATCTTGTTATCAAAAAAAATTTTAGTTGTAGAACATTCGGATGGAAAAAATTAAAAAGAAAAGAATACGTATTGCAGATGTCATCTGGAATTTATTGCTGGATGATACTGCTATTTACTTTCATAAATTTAAAAAAAAGGAAAGTATCTGAACGTTTAATTTTATTATACGCGTGCGTGTTTTCTATTTTGAATGTAACTGAAATACCGTTCTAATAATGCTCGTGTGACAAGATTGCCTAAAAATGTGTCGAGCCGGTTTAAAAAATGAAACTTTGAATTTAGAATCGAAAAAATGTGTAAGAAATTGTGAAGTATTTTTATGCCAAGAAAAATATGTGTCACAAGCGATTTCCATAATGTCACTTTTTTAAACGTTTCATTATAACGAAAAACTAGACGAAATAAGTTACGTTTTCTTACTGATTTCCTGACACGGCGTAAAGTACATTATGTTGAGTAAAAATTGAGATCCATTATCATGATTAAAACATTTCGTTTCAATAAATATATCGATCGATGTTTCCATTGACAGACGCACCAGTTTGCAAAGAGGACAGGATAGTCGTGGTGGGAGCATCGAGAGGCGAATCATTAAAAATAGCCTGCAGAGTCGAAGCCGATCCACCAATACTGAGTTTTCGATGGAAATTCAATAATAGCGGCGAGACACTAGAGGTGTCTACCAAACGTTTCTCCGTCGAGCCGAGCAAGGGTCTCAGCGTCCTCACTTACGTACCGAACACGGAACTCGATTATGGTACCTTGTCCTGCTGGGCTGAAAACGTCGTTGGTATTCAAGCAAAGCCTTGCCTTTTTCAACTCGTTGCTGCCGGTAAGATATAATATTAATTTTTTATTATTAAATTGTCAAAAATGAATCATTGTTTGTATAAAATCCGATAAAAAATTCGTCAATCTGAAAATAGTTTTCAATAAAAGAATCCCGATTATCATATCCAATGTTCGGTAATAGAAAAATTTACTTGGACGTAAAAGGATAGTGTGAACTGGACGTTATGAGGGTAAATTGTCGGGTGAAATAAATAAGTCTCAATACAAGTGATTAATATTTGAATTATAGGAAACTGAAATATAAAATGGCAAAAGAATGAATGAATACAAAGTGCTTGGGGCACCACTGCATATAAAGCATGCAGAATCTTGAATACAATATCTCAGGGACTAGCAAGCGCAGCGAGACGATGTCAATAAGCTCCGACTTTTCGTATATTGGTCGGGCTTCGCTGTTGTGACAAGCTTGTCGTCCGCATTCCTGGTCGTGCGAGTGTTATGCCTATGCTGCCATTATGGCCGTTGACTTGTCGTTGCTTCTTCTCGTCTTTATGTGTGTGTGTGTGTTTGTATGTGTGTGTACGTGTGTTTGTGTGTATATTAGAGATTCAGGTACTCGCCATCTAGCGGTGAAGGTTGAAGCAGTATTAACGTATTTAAAGTGATTCGAAACTGATTTAAATTTTTTGAAAATATTAAATTGTTATTTGGAGATCATTCAAAATTTTCTCAATATTTGTAACATAATTATAACAGAAAAACCACTAAAAGCAAGCCGATTAACGGTCGCGTACTTTAAAACATTTTAAATGGTCAGTCTTTAGTCATTAAGCCATTATTAATGTTGAAAATTTCTACTAAGGTTATTTCTATTAAAATAAAAATGAATTACAAAAAGTTTTATTATAGTATATTTCTCAACGGGTGCACATATGGTTTTTTAGCAAAACGAGGGATTATAGCACGAGCCGAAGGCGAGTGCTGTAACGAGTTTTGTTAAAAAACCATATCTGCACCAGTTTGAGATACTATTTTTTCCTACGAGAGCCTAAAATTAGCGGCAAAGTTGCGTATTTTAGGTTAGAGTGGGAAAAAATCTATTTATCTTCGCGAGACCTTGTACTAGGTAAAAAAACTAACAACTTATTAAATCAGTAAGAAGATTAGAGTAATGCAGCCTGTTGCGCAAGACTCTAACACTTTAGTTAGTTGCGCATAGAAGACGATCGCCTCGCCGCAAAATGAATAAACGCAAAATGCGAGCATCTAGTGACTCGTCACTCAACTCTTAAAAGCCAAACGCAATACGAAGCCCGGAAAGCTCGGTATAAATTACACCAACAGTAAAGATGTGAAGCCACGCGTAATTCGACGCGGTCGAAGTAGCATCTTCAACGTCTTGAACAGTGACTTGACACGGTTCGATGCCAACCAATCTGACGTGGCTTTAAGGACCTTCGAGGCACATTCAGCGGTTAAAGCTTTTCGAGTTTTGCAAAAAAACTTCCGTTGATAAAAACCGTTAATGCCGGTGTATTTGTGAGTTGTGATTAATTGCATTCAGCGACCCATCCCAGTGACGATCGCGAACAAATAGTTATTAAATCAAATTTTGACTAAATGTAAAAATAATTGTGCTTTTTAAACGTTTATTTAATTGATAAGCAAACGTCTGGCAAATCCTCTTAACGTCGGTAAATAGTATAATAAATGTCGAGAATTCGTAGAACAACGTCAGCGCAGGGCCCGGCAAGGTAAACTGAGACATTTAGATATTTCAAGGTAAAGCGAGCGAGAGAGAGAGAGAGAGAGAGAGAAAACCGACGGGACAGAAAATAAAATAGAATTATATGGCAATCTCGCTGGTCCTTACATTGCTCGCCATGGCATTCCACGGATTTTATACGAAGAATAAGAGAGAAGATATTGGAATTTTCGCAAGCGCGGCACTATAGGGTCACTAGCCTCGCGCTGCGTTAAATGCGGTGTGTTGCTCGATCGCGCGCGCGCGCGCACGTGTGCGTGACATGTCGTGCATGAAGAACAAGCTCTGCACAAAACTCGCAAACGAGTGCGCGAGCGAGTGAATCCGATCGATAAGCTGCGATGTTTCTTTATAATTTTGAAGGAGCCCCGCGCACAGAGGTAAAAATAAAAAAAAAAGCCCACGCACACGCGCACACTTGGGCGCGGCAAATTTGTAAGAAGATCGTCGTGCATTAAACGTACAGATAATACAGCCCGATGAACATGCTATATAAAAGTCCCGTTGCTTGAAAAATCATGCGAGCGCGAGTACCTACGAAATCATCGAGCCGTAAAGTATACACCTATAATTTGCGCGAGTTCTTCAACGTTACGTCTTGCACATCCAATACAAAAATATCTGCGGATTTGATGGTGCGCACGCGCGCGCGCGCGAGTTTCTTTCTCATTTGTGAAATTCATTTTCGCACACACACACACACGCGCGCGCGCGCACATGCATACGCGTGAATTGTTATTGTAAGCGTGTATTTGCATTCATGAAGAAAAAAAATTGACGTTTGAGCTTACGATGTAGCTTTATTTTTACATCAAATATTTTCCAAGCTCACACAGTATTTAACGTGACCTTTTTTTGCGCCGAAGTAAAATGGAAATATTAAACGAGGAATATTTTTAAAAAACTTTTGCAGGTAAGCCATTTCCCGTGCGGAATTGCAGTCTAGCGAATCAAACGTACACCAGTGTGGAGGTCAAGTGCTACCCCGGCTACGACGGCGGCCTGCCTCAAGAATTCGTCTTGGAAGTCTATCACGGCGACCTCGATTCTTTAGTGAGATTGAGGCCGCTTTACAATGTTACGGCAAAGAACGAGCCGTTCTTCGTGCTTTCGGGTCTTCAAGCCTCGGTCGACGCCGGAGTTCACGTGGCGGTCTACGCCATCAACGCCAAAGGACGCAGCGAGTCCGTCGTGCTGGGCGAGGTGACGTTTCGCGACGCCGAGAAGCGAACCGGTGAGTCAATTTTTTTTCCCTCGCAATATAAGTATTTATGAGAATCGCGTTTAAATTTAGATTTCATCGGGGCTGACTCGTGCTGGCCGAGAAGTCGAAAAAAAGTACCATTAGAAACGCATCAATGTTCGTTCGTTAAAATTTTTTCCACGAGTCGGATCTTGCCCCCGGACAGCTGAATTGTTGCGACGCACGACGTGAGAGGTCAGACGAGAAACGATTGACGAAAAGATAATAGTTCCCAATCGCTCTAAGATTAAGGAAAAAGGCACCCTCGGCCATTCGAACGATTGACAGAATTCGGATGCTACCACGTGCGCGCACGTAAATGTACGTACGACGACGAGCCAAGCGCCGCGCGTGCTCCGTCTCTCGTTCTCTGGCTCTCCTCTCTTTCTCTTCTTTTTTTTCTGCCTTCGCTGCTCTGCTACAAGTTTATATAGGCGTCTGTGTATAGCTGCACACAGAGTGATTCATTCATGTGTTGCTCTAAGGCAGGAAGGATGGGTGGTGTCAACGTCTGCGAGGGCTATAAAAAGAAGGAGAGCGAGAGACTTTTGGTAAGCAAGACTGATCACCGCCCAAGCTACACAAGAAAATGTACGCCCCGAAGACGCAGACGTACCACACCCAGCTTATACCCTTCTCTACCTTGTATTTATACATGTGTGTGTATGTATATAAAATACTCACATAAACTTTGTTTATTACGCGTCTGCAAATCAACCTTGAAATCAAGAATAGTGAAAAATATTTCTTTTCATACGTAAAAGTCTATTTAAATCAACATTGTTGTTATCGATTTTTTATCCAAGTTTTCTGGCATCATTTTTGATCATTAGCAGCGAGTTGATGGGTTCCAAGGAAAGCAGGAAATTCTTCGAGAATTGTATCGAAGTTAATTTCAATGTCATATATATCTATATCAGAGGCAAAATTTCAAACGTAACTGGGTTGTTTCACCGGGCTAATTAGAACAGTATGTCAGGCTAAAATTGAACGAGAGAAAACTTAGTAAAATAAACGCTGACGGAAAGAGAGCTGAAGAGATGGCTAAAAAAAAGACAGAGAGTATATGAAAAACACAGGAGAAATTCCTCCTTCATCTCATAACGAATGCCTCATATATACTTTTAGCGCACTCGCGGAATACTCCAGACTAAGAAAAAGAAGGAAGAGGTGGAGAAAATTACGCAACCTAGAATGGCTTAATGTCCAAAAAAGGAGAGCAAGAGGATGAGAGAGAATTAGAAGAAAGCACACCGTGGTATGGCCATCGTCGTTTTCGGCGTCATCGTCTTCGTTGACGCTCCTTCCAGCTAGCTAAAAAGAAAGAGAGAGAGAGAGAGAGAGAGAAAACGGAAAAGATGCCGCCGGCGAGCAACGACGCTTAATGACCAGACACCTTGAGACCCGCCTCCTACTTTGTGCGCGCAAGCACACACACACAACCCTTATGGTTCCTCTTTCTCTTAATTTAACTCCATTCCCGCACCGTATTCATAAATATCTTTTTTATCTCCTTGCCTCTTGTTATTCCTCTCTTACGACTTCATACTACTTTACGTAATTATACCATGTATTTTATGAAAAGACGCTCAAGCAGCCGGTTAACGCACCAACTGGACCGCCAACGATTATTTACGCAAAGCCATATTCGTGAGACCTCTATGAATTTATCGATCGAAATAATCTCTGCATTAGATTTTGCTCAATTATTGCAGGACTTCAAAATTTGTTTTTCGAATGTTAATTTTATAAAAATTATTGTGCAAATATGCTTAATCTGTATGACCTTATGAATGTCATGTTAATCATTATTTTTATTTGATTTTATTTTTATTAAGACCATAGTGTCATTTTATTTTCTATTCGAGAAAGCTCTGTGATAGGCTTCAAAGTTAGCTGAAAAATATTTCGGCTCTATGAGGACACGAGGAATGAAACGAGTCTTAGTCATATTTTTAAAGTTTGGTCATATCTAAAAAATGTATTTTCTCGTCCAATGCAAAAATATTTACCGGTCTGGTATGAAGTTTAATCAAGTTAGTTGCATATTTTTCGGATTTTATAAGAAATGAATAAAGGTCAAATGTTTCTCTTACAGATGAGACGATTTCTTATTTCAATAGCATTTACACTGAAAAGTGGTATCGATTACTTTTTTAGGAAAAAGCTCTTTGCCAATGCATTGGCAGCGGTTTCTTCTTTTTATAGTCGTCTCATTTGGACTTCAATACAGTACATTTTTAATTTTTTTTTAGTCTTCTTCACTTATTTAAAACTGAAATGTCCTTATCATTCCAGTTGGCTGGGTGCAAGAGTATTTCTGCGAACTTTTACCTGTAATTGCTTCCTTAATTTAACGCTTGTTAAAATTTCTTGTTCATAAGAAAAAAAAGTAGCTATGCAAAGTATGATTTTGTTCTCAAACCTAATAACTGAAAAATTTTTTCTCGACTTTTATGTCCCCATTTCACTCTATACTTATACATCATTTAACGTTTTCTTGAAAAAAAATAAACTCGCTCAAAGATTTTCCATAATTATGAGTGACAAAGTCAATTGAAATTATGATTTTAGTACAATGCCGGTTGACAAAAAAAAGATCGAGACAGTGTAATTTACAAGGCAAGTTAAGTCTTAGATAATACAAAAATAACTCGCAAGTCTAATTAATATAAGAGCCATTGCGATTATAGATCGAATTGAACCCTCTTAGAGCCAACTTCATGTGAGTACAAGAAATATTTTAGTGTCATCTATATACGCCCTCTGTAGTTAATAATATCTTTCATATATTAAATGACATACTCATAAGAGTTCCATGCGCGCGTAGCGCGCACATATAAAAGTCTAGTATGAGGAAATTATTTGCTCGTGTTGTATTGAAATGGATTAGCAAATGCTGCTACGTTTGTACGTGAGAGCATAGAAAATCGAGAGAAGCAGACAGTTTGAGATAACCGCAAAGCTGGTGCTCGGATATACGGCTATAAATGCACTATATAATCATTATCGAATCGAATGATTGCCGGTGCAACGGAAATAAATGCGTCGTTCTCCAGGAAATTATTCGTGTCATAGATAGACGCGGCAACCTATAAATAAATTTAATCTTATTTTGACAATTGGTTAAATATAAATTTATTTAAAAACCGGTTTCACCTAGTTTTATTTTATGCAGTTTGATGGGAAAATTATCAGAAATACATATAGTAAATCAAATTATGTACATTATTGTTCAGCTCAGTCTTGTATCCTTAGTACGTAACATACAAAAAGTTTCTTGTGCATGAATCTTAAGAACTTGCATTAAGCAATTAATGATTTGTTTTTAGATGGCGAATAAGATATGGATATATGTATGAAAACTTTAAAATTTTCAAGTTATGTAAGTCCTGTTCACTTGTGGTGTCAAATTTTGGAAGTTTTTTGCCAATGCTGTTGCAAGTATTTTCAAAAATTTGGCGTACTGCTTCTTTTTGTAGCATTTTGCTGAATACGCCCCCCTTTCAAGAGGTAAAAAAATTTTAGGTTTATCTTCGCAAGGTAATGTTTTGAATAAATTTCTATCACCAGCTACGATTATATTTAGAAAATATCCCACAGAAACTCTGTAACCACTTTTTCAAAGCGTTCATTGACTTATATAATTATTTTTACTTTACCACTTGCAACTTTATAAATGAAGGTACTCGCCATCTAGTGGGGAAGGCTTAAATTAAATTAATAAAAGCTAATCTAAAATTTTTGGAACAATTAAATTGTCATTTTTATAATTGTCATATCATTTTCAAATTATCATTTTTTGAATAGGGGACCATTATTCATGGTAAGCATTTCCATCAGGGACTATGTTTTTCTCTTTGCACTTTCATTGCATACCAACACTTCCCTCAAGTATCATGAATTTTTGGTGTGGTTATGCTAATTTGGGTGCCATTTTCGGAATATTGGTTATGCTGCTCATTCCTTAAAATTTAAAGTTTTTAAAGTTGGTAGTTTTTTAAAAATTCTCGATGAATACACAACATAAAAAAATTAAGAAAATCTTCAATTTAGGCTTAAAAATATTATGATTCTGGCCTAATTCGGTTCCATGCGCAATGCTTGGCCTATTATCTGTAAAGGGATTTTTTTTTTAATTTTTAAAATTGTTTTTTTTCTATTATACTTCATAATATTTCGAAATATGACGAAAAAATGTTACCATCCCTTTTTTGATCGATGATTGAGATATACACTTTTTATTCACCATTAACATTGATCAGTTATTTTTCGTTTAGAGAAAAATTTTATAATTGAACAATGCAACAAATTTTCTTAGTACGATAGTCACTGCATTTTCAATAAGTTCATGGCATATTATCATTGTTTGTATTGAAGAAATTAATTTTTGCATGTCATACATTGATTTTTAAAATTACCTTAATCAATCAAGACTTGACAATCTGAGTTTGAATTCTATTCTCAAAAAATATTTTAAAAGTAAAAAGGAGCCTGAGAATTATAAATCTAATATATTGAACTTGATCTCGACTAATTATTTTTAATCAAAAATATCATTAAAATCTACCTACCTTTATCAGTCTCAATAACTGCATCATAGATGTAACACACGGCTGTAGCTGCAGCTCTTAAACAAAATTTTTCCTTTATATATATCATACACTCATCCGATTTTTTAATTTAATCCTTTTTAGTGTGCTCTATACTATAACACTGAAAAGTCACTTAAAAACTTTCAAAGGAAACAAAAAAGTTATAAAAGTATCGCTTGGCTTGCTTGCTCATGCAGCAGTAGATGGTGAAAACAGAAGAAGTGTACGGTGGCTTTTTCTACATTACATTCCAATAAAAAGAGCTTGAGTCGACGTTCTGTCTCTTTCCCTTTTTCGTCTTCTTATGTTTTGCCAAACCCTCGCTCCTTCTTAAACTTGCTCGTGTTTGCCCTATCTACCGAGTGAAGCACTTTTTTCAACTCGCATCCCTCTTCG